CTCAGCGTATGCGCTGTTATGTCATTGTTTATCCCAAGTGACACTGGGGAAAGTTTAAACTCCAGAAATGTCTAAACTTAAACAGGAAGATGTTAATAGAGCACGCATATACCAGAACTGAAAATAAACCTCCATCAACATCGTCCGTGAGAAACGTTAGGGATAAGATACGATAACAATGTAGAATATGGACATTGTTAGGGATAATATACGATAACAATGTAGAATATGGACATTGTTATGGGTAAGATACGATAACAATGTAAAATATGGACATTGTTAGGGATAATATACGATAACAATGTAGAATATGGACATTGTTAGGGATAATATACGATAACAATGTGGAATATAGACATTGTTAGGGATAAGATACAATACCAATGTAGAATATGGACATTGTTAGGGATAAGATACGTTACCAATGTAGAATATGGACATTGTTAGGGATAAGATACGATACCAATGTAGAATATGGACATTGTTATGGGTAAGATACGATAACAATGTAAAATATGGACATTGTTAGGGATAAGATACGATAACAATGTGGAATATAGACATTGTTAGGGATTGTGCATAAGATTTGGGTGCAATATACCAAGGTGTTTTTGTTGTAAGCTGGCAAGAGAACAAGAATAAGAAGAATTTCAAACGGGCGTTTTGAGCGGATTTTCTTTTCCTTGTAACCCTAACATGGGTGCTTTTTCTGTGCATTTTTATATGTGTACAGCCTTAGCAGTCAATATTAAATGTTTTAAAGTGTTATTTGAATCGAATCTTTACTGTTTAAAATGCTTTTTGCCCGAATGTTCTAATAGGGTTTTCTGCAGTGCGATCCTTATTATGAACTACTACTATAGTTCATGATGAACATTTTCTTTACGCAGTACAAATCGTTATCAGCACGACACCTGAGAAACAACGTATAACAACGACCATTGTTCTTAACAGCAGTTCCCAGAGACGAAGCAAACCATAATAAACAAGCTTGTAAGAGTATTTTATTTGTTTTAAACTTCGCGCAAAGCTATAGAAGAGCTATCTGAGTTAATGCTGATTGATAGACCAGAGGGAATACAGGTAGTCAACACCACCAACCGCCAACTCTTTAACCAACGAAAAATGGGGACTGACTATCACACACGGCTGATAGGCCAAGCATGTTAGTGGACGGGATTCGAACCGGCGATTCTCAGACTGGAAGTCGAGCGCCCTAACCACCAGGCCATGCCTCTTTAAGGGTAGCTTGAAAGTTTACTAGTAGTGGTTTCGTAACATAAGTTATTGACTTAATTAAACCCGTAGGTATTGGTTGAGTCTAAAACCCTAAGAGCCAGCAGATCATCTTAGCAGATCAAAGATCAAATTAAAGCTCTAACTTTAAAAACCAGAAATAGTGATCTATAAATAATTTCATAGTGAACAATGTAGTTCTGCTCTACCTCCCTTCTCAAGACCTTGAAATGATTTTAAGAAATTTAGATGTACATCAAAAATGAGGAAAGATACAGCTTTTAACAATTTTCCTTTGGGAGTACTCGCTTTATGAATCCCCCTTCATCAACATGAAACTTGGGATTACTCGCTTTATGAATTCCCCTTCATCAACATGAAATTCATAAAGCGAGTAATCCCAAGTTTCATGTTGATGAAGGGGGGTTCATAAAGCGAGTAATCCCAAGCCCCCTCTTCATCAACATGAAACTTGGGATTACTCGCTTTATGAACCTCTCTTCATCAACATGAAACCGTCCAACTCTTTCCTGTCAGTGCAGGGCGATGACGAAGTTCGATGGTGTATCCGTAACACAGAAATCACATGAATTCAGTTTTTCTGTGAGAACTTTAGCCTATTCCCCAACAAACTATACAAAGTGTCTACGGTTATAACACTCTTTTAAACCAGAGGTTTCGAGAGATTAAGTCTTGTTTAAGTCAAAGTCTCACTTAACCCTTTCTGAGAGCATTTCTACATGCTCCTTTCCGTCTGGGAAGGGTTTATTGTGCTGATTGAAGTCCAAAAGTTTGAAGGTGCTATAATTTCATGGGGGGTACAAAAATGGTAGTCATAGTTACACCAACTTGTACAAAAAGTCCGCAAAATACACTCGAATACACGAGGGCGTAGTTCAAAAGTCCAATATCTGGAAAGAAGGGGCAGAGTTACAAACACTACTAGTTCTGTTTAAGTAAGAGCAGGGTTACAAATACTACTGGGTTTATTGTAGGGGCAGAGTTACAAACACTAGTAGTTTTGTTTAAGCAGGGGCAAGGTTACAAATACTACTGGGTTTGTTGTAGGGACAGAGTTACAAACACTAGTAGTTTTGTTTAAGCAGGGGCAAGGTTACAAATACTGCTGGTTTTGTTTAAGTAGGGGCAGGGTTACAAACACTACTGGTTTTGTTTAAGTAGGGGCAGGATTACAAACATTACTGGTTTTGTTTAAGTAGGGCAGGGTTACAAACACTACTGGGTTTGTTTAAGTAGGGGCAGGGTTACAAACACTACTGGTTTTGTTTAAGTAGGGCAGGGTTACAAACACTACTGGTTTTGTTTAAGTAGGGGCAGAGTTACAAACTCTACTGGTTTTGTTTAAGTAGGAGCAGAGTTACAAACACTACTGGGTTTGTTTAAGTAGGGGCAGGGTTACAAACCCTACTGGTTTTGTTTTGACTGAAAGGTACCCGTACTATTTACACCTACTTACTAACTACTGCAGGAGACAATAAAATCGTTTAGACGAATGTGTGAAGTCTCGGAGCAATAGCCTATTCCTGATCTAAAGAAATAGCCATATTTATCCACAATAATACTTTACTGGAAGAGATAAAAATTTCAAAACGCAAATAAGAATAAAGTAGATGTGAAATATGAGTCAGAAAAGGCATATTTAACACTGGATTATGGTTTCATAGCCACATAGCTTTTAATCAGTGAATCGCGTCCGAAACGTGACTTTTTAAAGCAGTATACCGCATCTAGAAATGTGACCTGTATTTCTGGGTGCGATACACTTCTTAATTGACACATTTCTGAGTGAAATACACTGCTTAAAAAAATCACGTTTATGGTTACTACGCTGCTTCAAAACTTTTTAAGCAGTGTAGTATGGAGCTTATTTTATTAAAGCTTCAACATTGCTCAGAATTAGGCACTCTCGGCTCAAGATTCCTAACAAAGTTTGAATAACTATTATGTTCTTCATTTTGTCATGTTTTAATATTGGAAATAAGTTTAAAAAAAAGAGAAAATAAATGTTACTGAATAAGTTTCTTTTGCGTACCTATTTCATCCACAAACCAGAGTTTTCGGTTCGTATGAACCTTGCATGAAAAAGTAATAACTCATGCTGCCCCCTAGTGGTAAGTCTGAGGGCTTATAATATTAAAAAACCGGGTTTTGATACCCATGGTGGACAAAAAAAACACAGATAATACATTGTACTGGTTTAGGGGCGTAGTGAAGTGATGGGGATGGTGGTATTTTTCAGATTTGTAAACTGTTTAGAATATTTGGGTGGTCGTTCGATCCCCTCCTTCTTCCTCTGGCTACGGCCACGCAGGTTTAAGCACAAATTAAATTTCAAGCCTTTTATATTTTATGCAGAACTTGAGGATTATTTTATTCCCACTAATATTTTCCTCGGTGAGATTGCATTTCGGCCACATACACACATATATATATATGTGTGTGTATAGTCCCATTTTTGTCCCATTTTAAATAAGTAGTTGGGCGTTTCTCTCTCTTTTTTTATTACGTGTTCTGTAAATATTCTGTCAGAAATCAAACAACTGCCACATAGATGGCCGTAACCAAAGGTCTCGTCATGTAACGTATTGATTGAGGTTTGAACTGTGATATTTATTTATGCAAATTTATAAGTCGGAAAAGCACGTAATTCTAAAAAGCTACATTTTGTGAAAAACGTTCAACACGTTTAATGTTAAATTTTACAGCTACACCCAAATTCTGATTAAAAGAAAAAAACATTTATGAAAATTAACTTTTTTTTGGATAGTTTTGTTAGTTTGTTTGTTGTGAATTTTGCGCAAAGCTACAAGAGGGCTATCTGCGCTAGCCGTCCCTAATTTAGCAGTGTAAGACTAGAGGGAAGGCAGCTACTCATCACCACCCACCGCCAACTCTTGAGCTACTCTTTTACCAACGAATAGTGGGATTGACCGTCACATTATAATGCCCCCACGGCTGAAAGTGCGAGCATGTTTGGTGTGAGGGGGATTCGAACCCGCGACCCGTAGATTGCGAGTCGAGCGCCCTAATCACCTGGCCTCTAATTTTGAAGGGATAGACTAGAGATAAGGCACCTAGTCAACACCACCAACTCTTCGGCTACTTACTCTTTACCAACTAATAGTGGGATTTGCCGTCACATTATAACGTCCCTACAGCATGTTCGGGGGCGGGCTTCCATCTCGCGACCAGCAAATAGTGAGTCTATCGCGTTAACCATCAGACCATTTCAACACATCTATACTTGCCATAGCTGTGTGGTATTATTTAATACATCTATACTTGCCATAGCTGTGTGGTATTATTTAACATGAATAGTAGGAACTATTATGTTAGAGAATGGTTAATAACATTTTGTTTTAACCGTGACTCGATAGGTGGCACTTTTGGGATATTTTTCAATGTTTTATGTCTATCATATACTAGGGATTATTGTTTGGCATTTTAGAAGTTATATAGGTTAATTATACTATGTGATAATCACCGACGATTTAAAAAAATTTAGATCGCCTCCTATCTTTAGGCCGCCATATGTCTCATCATCAGCACCTTAAGTAATTTTCAATAACTTTTAAATTCATATAGCCAGAGCACTTGTTTTTCGAACCTCCAGGTATCACTAATGCTGATATTTGTCGGTAAGTTACCCTGCATATTATTATTCAGAAGTAGAGGTACGTTAATTACACTGTTGAGATTTTGAGAAGTTTTTATTCCTTTTTCCACAGAAACGACATGATGACGATAGACCACAAATTGCTTTTGACAGTCCTTGCAACATTAATATTGGTACCAATAAGTACCTTGTGTGGTACTTTTTTACAAAATAAGTTTCAAATGGTATCCGAAACGGAGTCTGATGATCATGACGGCTTTCCTACAGGATCACTCCCTTATCACAACAATCATAGCAATGGATTCAACGATAGACTAACAGAAGAGCGTGATCAATATTCTAGGCCTAGCAAGCTAGACCCGTTGATGAGAAATTCACCAACAACCGCAAGGGAGAGCTTTAATCGGTCATATTTGCCCAAGAACAAAGCGAATGATGAACAATTTCGATATCATTTTGACGACTTGGTCAAGTCTCAACAAGCACCTCAACATAAAACGCAAATTTCTGTTCGGATACAAGAACAGATGGGGAAGACGGAAACAGCAGCGATAAGCGGAAGTGACGTCACGCCGAAGCGTGGAAACCGGCCATCTTTATCGATCGTTAGCCCTCTGGATGTTCTGAGCCAGAGGCTGATGTTGGAAATGACTCGAAGGAAAATGAAGCAGAATCAGTATCAGATAATGGCCAACGCTAAATTACTGAAGAATCTTGGGAAAAGAAAAGCACTTCTCTATTAGCGCCGCCTAGTGGACTGAAAAGGTAGCTAGAATTTTGTTCTCCGTTATAGTGCATTTTCGTTTTGCTTTGACGTGAATATAACTAGAGTTAGAGCATCACCCAAAATTAATCTAATTACCAATAAAATGACCTGTTACAAATATTCAGTTTTCACCATTGTGGAATATTTTATTATCTGAATAGAGCTGAAACATTAGAGTTTAATTGTACTCTGCAAGAATATGATGATTGTGACGTTCGGTCGTTAGGACTAGTTTATATAAAATGTACGATAACACCTGTATTACTGTACCTAACATAGGAAGATTAGACTTTGGGTATATCTGAATGCTTTTTCTGATTTCCTGATCGTTTCAGTCCGACGGTTAAGGTAAACAATATCCAAAATGTTCTACAAGAATGACTCAACAGTATTTGAAGATATGCTCTTTCAGCTATGATTAGAACCCTTGTTAAAAAAAAAACGAAACCTATTAAAAAAAAAGACGTTAAACTTTAGGCTAAGCATATTGATAGACGCCTTATATCGAAGTGTAAGTGTTCTCAAAAGATTAGTGTTACAAAGTTAATAAAGGTCACGGTCTTTGATGTGAGCAGGTCGTCGCCAGGGTCAAGTAGTTGGATAATTAGAACTAATGGGCATCTACTTAAGAAAAACATCCCTCCCTTCTTTAGATGGCATCTATACCAGCTGACCGTTTGTTTTTCAGAAGAGATTCCTTTACAAAACAAACACAACTCTGTACATTTCAGATTGACCACTACACTTGCTTGGTAGTCAACATCGTGTCTTGCATCTGTAATGAACAAGTTCGTGACCTTCAAGTAGTATCATTTGTTCATCTCCAGTCTTGTAGCTTCACACTATTACCACCACCACCTGGCTTCACACAACTGGTTCCACCACAACCTAGCTTCAGATTATTACCATCACCACCTGGCTTCACACTATTACCATCACCACCTGGCTTCACACAACTGTTTCCACCACAACCTGGCTTCAGATTATTACCATCACCACCTGGCTTCACACAACTAGTACCACCACCAACTGGCTTCACACAACTGGTTACCACCA